TCAACCGCGTCTTTGGGCCGAGGCTGCTCCATCACCACACCGACTGTGTCCTTGAATCGGACAGGACAGTGCGGGGTGTTGGCGGGCAGTAGGAAGATCGATCCTTCATGGATGGGGATATCCTGGAAGACGGGAGGGGAGACAGATGTATCGACTGTCTTTAGAAGCATGGAGCCTCGATATTGATAGAAGAATTCTGGGGTGGAGTTGATGTGGTAGTCCGTGCGGGCATTTGGTCCCCCAACGATCATGACCGTGTATCCGGCTGTCGCGGGGGAGGAGGGGTGATAGACGCAGTAATTATTCACCGGTGGTTGAAGGAGATGAGAGTTTTCTTCGAGCCTGTAGCCTAGTCATTATCTGAACTGTAAATGCACTTCATGGCTTCGTATCAGGAGATGCTCCCTGCGAAGTGGGGGAGGGGTATGCGGTTTCAGGTGGGACTTGAGGTAGGAAATACCATTTCGGGATATTCAGAGCTGGTGGTAGCATTGTCGCAAGCTTTTTCTTGTTTTAGAGGCCTTTTCTGATGCCGGACAGACTTTTAATTAATGAACTGCGAGATTTTATATTTGCAGTCATACATGGTTTGATTTTCAAGCAAAGACCGAAGCCGATGCGGTCATCCCATCTGGCGGAGATAGCCGGAGATAGATAAACAGGTCGCTCGGAAAGGAAGATCATCTCTCCGACAGATTTTCTCTTTTTTAAAAATTATCCACACTTTGAGATTGAGAGAATCAGCTTCTGATATCGACGACAGGGTATCGGAAGATCTCCAATCCAGCAATCATGGCCACTACATCCCAGCCTCCCCTTCGGTTCACCGGTCACAAGAATTTTGTGAACCGACTGATCTTTTCAACCTTAACCGGTCGTGCAGTTCATATCTCCCAGATCCGTCCATCGTCTCCCACGAATCCCGGTCTTGCTTCCCACGAAATCTCGTTTCTCCGTCTCTTGGAGGCAGTTACAAATGGGTCCCAGATGGAAATTTCATATACGGGAACGATCGTTATCTACAAGCCTGGCCTGATCACTGGAGGCCTTGCAGGTAACGGGGTCACCAGCGGAGGTGTTATTCGGCATGAGCTCCCAGCAGGATGCACTCGAGGCGTCAGCTACTTCTTAATACCTCTTTGTCTCCTCGCGCCATTCTCTAAAGCTCCGATCAAGGTGCTCTTCACTGGTCCTGGCGTTATTACTTCGGCCACACCCACTGGGGACATGTCCGTGGACAGCGTCCGCACTGCAATCCTTCCGCTTTACAACCAGTTCGGTATCTTCAACAACATTGAGCTTCGTGTTCTGCGCAGGTCTAATCCCGGACCGAACGGCAGGGGAGGTGGTGGAGAAGTTCAGTTGGTTTTCGGCCACCAAGTACGCCTTCCGAAAACACTGCACTTGATGAACCCAGGCAGAGTCAAGAAGGTTCGTGGCGTGGCGTACTCGGTGGGTGTTTCAGTCTCCAACAATGCGAGAATGATTGATGTAGCCCGTGGCATCCTCAATCCTCTCGTTCCTGACACCTACATTTTCTCCGACGTGTCTTCCGCGCCGCTTGTCCCTGACAGGAGCAACCCATCCGCAAAGAAGAAAATTGGTCTCGGCTTCGGTTTATCATTGGTTGCGGAGTCTTCGACCGGCTGCTTGTACTCCGCCGATGTTGCTTCTCCACCCGCGGGTGGCCAAGCACCGGAGGATATTGGAAAACAATGTGCCTACCAGCTTCTGGAAACTATATCGAAAGGCGGATGCGTTGCACCCGCTGCAGCTTCAACCATGCTGGGCTTGATGACTATGGGGTCAGAGGACGTCGGTCGACTTCAATTTGGACGGGAAGTGATTGCTGATGAGAGTATCATCCAGCTGGCCAGAGATTTGGCCAAGTTCGGTGCGCCTGGATGGGGTCTAAGAGATGCTACCGGTGAGAATGAGCAAGGGGACGTTATCGTGAGCGTGGTCGGACGAGGTATTGGCAACGTTGGTCGGAAGGTTGCTTGATCACGGCAAGCCAGATTGGCGGCATATGACTGTCTGCTACATGTGCTCGCTCATGCGGTTATTAACACGAGGCGCAACCTCCATTTGGAGGCTCCTCTGCACATCCGGGCCAGTAAAGCAGCTCCGCGCACACTTGATTGTCTTGTTCCGATCATTCTCCGGTAACAAGCCACCGGATCTGCTTGGTAGATGGGCTCTACCCCCGCGTGCATTAAAGTCGAGCGAATTGCCTCGAGTCTAGCGAAAACGTCATCGCTCGCCTGGTTCTGTTTTGTGTGGTTGGGATCCGGCACGAAGTCAATTGTACTTCATACAACCAAGGTTGTTGGCAGGACAATCAATATCTTGAGGTGTTTGGCGAGGGTAACAAAAGTTTTGAAGGGTTGTTCACCTTTTGCGTCGCATTATACCCATATTTCGATTACCCAAGCTGTTCCTGGACACCCGGTCAGGGAATTGAACTGGTATTCAAAGAAGAGGCGTTTCTGGTGTTCCGGGAAAGAATTATTATGGCACACTGTGGTTGTATATAGGACTATCATACATGCAGATCCTGCACAGTTTAGCATTTGACGACCAAAGCCTTCTACGCGTCTTTGTATTCTTCTTTTTAGGGTTCCTCGCTTCTGCTAGAACAAGTATGCTGATACGGAAGTGTCTACTGCTCCAGTGACGCAAGACAATGCTCTTACCGACTGGACTCCAGCCTGGCCCAAGCTTGAGATTCTTGAAGCTGGAGAGAGTATGGAAGAACTCTCTATGTACCTAGTCCTTTCTGTCAAAGCAGGACCAGACGATCAACGGCTCATGATGACCTTATTTTGCGCACCTCTTTCGCTCTGACATGTCTTTTTCGTCACAATCCTAGGCAACAATCTGCTGAACCAGTTCCCAGCGCAGCGGTCTTTCCTAGATTGGGGAGCATGACGCTATTCAGTACCACAGTTTGATCGTACCTTCCTTATCTGCAGCGGTTGCCTTGGGGGTCATGGCCCGCCACCAGCGCACTACAAAAAGGCAGCTGCTCCCCTCTTCCTCCTCTTTCGTTTCTTTCCTTCCCTTCTCCTTGCCTCTGCCCTTGAGAGTCTATCATTTCTTTTCCTCTCCTGGGCCGTTCTTCTCATCGTCCATGCTTCTCGATTCTTTTTGCCCTTCTCAGATATCCATCTTCGCCGGCTTCAAGTGCCTTCCTTCTACCTATCTCTGATGTTTCGATACAATAGCCCCCGTAAGTTGCCTTGGGGCAAGTTTCAAACTTCCCCGTTTCAACCAGAAGCTGATCATTTTCGGACTGCGCGTCATGGAGGCTTGACACGCGAGCTGGTCGTACATCCCCCCCCTTGCCGCCCTAGTTCCTCTGAGCATCATGCCTGGCATCGTGGGCAGGCCCAGTAAGTGACAGAGCTTGTATGTGAATTTGAATATCTCTCTGTCTGATGCCCTGAACTGATGACTTTCACAGGCTGGCTAAAAACATCCGCTCGCACCGCAGGCCAGCTCCCTCACGGGACATGCTCCTGTAAGTGGAGTCCCTCTGTCTCATTGTAACCTGATCTGATCAGACAAGAGCTTCACCGTCGCTACCACTCTTCAACGTCTTGCCAACCATCTATCACTTGGACAACCACGACAACCTGCCGGCTCGGACAGGCCCAGTAAGTGACAGAGCTTGTATGTATTTCTTTGACTTCATTGAACATTCATTCCTTACTGACAATTTTCAAGCTGGCTAAAAATAATTGTCCGAACCGGAGGCACAGCTTCGAATTCTCCTAAGAGCCTGTCAGTTGCCTTTCACCTTCAGACTATAGCTCTGCTAATGAGGCTACAGCAAACGCACACCTTTTTTCGAGAACAAACCACTAGCCAACAGTAGCTGCATCGTGGCTGGCCCAGTAAGTGACAGAGCTTGTGAGCAACTCTCTTTCCCCATCCTTGTGTACCCAACTTACAATCATAGGCTGGCTAAAAAAACATCTTTTACCACACCGCAGCGAAACGGAAGCTCATTATTCGATAATGTGAGCCGGTCTTATCGTCCGTGGGGCGTGTTTGCTAACCTGTCTCAGAGCTTCCTGGCACGCCCTCCGCTTCGCTGTTGCATCGCTTTCAGGGGATATTCCTTTGTGTTTGTAATTGATACTGTGCTGGGTTGACGACAAGTCGTTATAGAGTTGGGCCTGTACTTAGTGTGAGCTATGCCCTGGTCAAGGTTTTTACCTACAGCAGGATGTTTCTCTTGACCCGGTGGACGTCAGTCTGCTACCCGAATGGGGGGGGGGTATGAATGAAGAATCAATAAAGTGTCATGACTGATTGCGTTTGAACTATACTGAGCTTTAGGATTGCAATTGGAAGCTTGTCCTGGAGATATGTTCGGTACCGATTAGAGGGCGCCCATAATTGGACAGAAAGTTGGAATTGCTTCAAACTCCAACGGTCCTGAGCCCCGGCCTAATATCCCTGTGGACTAGAGTGCACCTCTGCGAGGAAAGCCGCCGACATGGGATGGACAGTAAGGCGCTTTTATCAACATGGCGAACTGTACTTCCTACCTAGAGGTACGAACGCGTATAAAGATAAATAAACAAACCTCTAGTATAAATTGGCTCGATATTCTAAATCTAACCATCTTAAAATAGTACCAGGATCTCGCAAGGGCGCCGAATAACCCTAAAACATGCATATATACTCCGAAAGCAGGCTCCGGCCCAATAAACATAGATGTGCAGTTATAACTGATGAACAGGAAATCGAACATGACAGAATGAGACTGGCTTGTGCACCCCAACGCCTTTTGAATGCAGAATGCGCCGGTTGCATGTGTGGAAAGCGAAAGGTGATTAAATAGCAAAAGAACAAACGAAGTAGGTATAGATAATAGGGGTGTTCTTTTCGAAGATGGAAGACATGATGCTGGAAATTCTATCAACGCAAGGAATTTCGAGGATTGTAGTGCTTGAAAGTCATTGACAGAATGATTGTTGCGGGTGGATTCACTCTGCCACGTCCTCGTCTTTGCCCGGGTACATGATGTCCTGTCTGATGACGGCACGAATATGGTAGACGAAAACGAAGAGCCACATGCAGACAATGCCGATCGACATGGCCGAGCCAACGCCCAAGACGCCAGGGCTACCCAAGGCCCTCCCCAGGGTAATAGTGGCCAAGGTGAACCCGGTATTAGGGAAGACCAGGGCCCACCAGCTAAGATGGAACGCTGTGGGCGGGGACCGGACGACGGCAATAAAGGCAATGAGGAAGAACCAGAGACTCAGGGCCCACAGGAACACGCCGGCCATGATTGCCATCAGCTCGAGGATCCGAGCGTCCTCGAGGGCGTGTGCATCGTTGATGACCTTGAATTCCTCGGGCAGGCCCTTGGCCATCCCTACTAGAGCCAACGCGGTGAAAGCCGGGGGCCCCACGCAGATGAACATGGCTGGTCTGTGTTCGCGGCAGGGAAGCCCTGACTGCATGAGTCGGCCGATGTAGTGGGCGTACATCAGGAAGCTGATGGAGAAGCCTAGGCCCTGGAATGTAACGCCGGCGGTGATGACGGGGATCGCGGATCGCGCGGGCTGGTCTTCGCCGATGACAGAGGCGATGGTTCCGCTGAGCATGATGGGGAAGGCTGGTAAGATCCATGATGGCATCATAGTCTGGAGGCCGTAGGAGTGGGCAGCGAAGAGGAACGAGTACTGGATCACGGCTGTGGCAAGGGTGCAACTACAGTAGACCCAGAAGAGGACCTCGAGTGCGATGAGATACGACCCTAGATCCTCGGAGCCGAAGTAACGATGCAAGCCGGTGATGATCGTTGCAATGGATAGCCAGAAGGTAGGAAAGAAAAGACCCTCGCGAGGGTGGCGCAGGCTGTCTAGGAAACCGCCATGCAGAATGAATCTGAGCGCCATCAGAGAACACACGAGAGCGAATAATAGAAGATTGATAATATAAACGGCCATCCCAATGCCGTTCATTCCCTTGAAGGTATACGGCTGACTAGCAATCAGAAGAGCCAGTCCACCGGTGCTCATCGTCAAGGTATACCAGGCCCAGGTGAAGTGCCGTAGTCGTTCACGGAGGCTTAGTCGAGGAGGTCTCTTCATCTCATGTTCAAAAAGGCCAGAATCTGACTGTGACGATGTTGGTGGAACATGATCGTTGAACATCGTGATTGCGAGGTAGCTCGGTCCTGATACGGATACGAAAAGAGTATGAATAGAGGCAGAGAAGAAGGAGAATTATGTCAAGCTTAGTGAAGATGTCCTAGAACGAGGAACATGAGACAAGATCCTGTTCGGATGAGAGGGCGTGTGTAGATACCCTGTCAATGCTCCGACTCCACTACACCAGACAGGGCAACGATGAAATCTAGTGAAGAGCTCGTAGCAGAAGTGGTAAAGACCAGCCAAAGTGCACTTGAAAGAATGGATGCACTATTCGGTGCCTGCAGAAGGAAAGAAGAGAAAAAGATTTGGAAAGCCTTAGAGTGGTAATTGATCCGATTGAAATAGCGAGATATCGCTGGCGCCACAGATACTTTATAACAGACGGACAAGCCTCCATGCACATGTGAACGACCACCATAAAACGTTGAAGGCTTCGGGTTGACAACCATTACCATCCCATCCGATGTGAATGGGGTCTGGGCCAAGAATCCAAGAAAATAGGAACGCTTCATCAACAGTGGTTGGCTTAGCACATATCGCAGGACATCCTATAAACTCATTGCTCCAGATTGGATCAGTAGTGCCCACTAGGAATCGGAAAGGTTAGGAAGGGAGCTCAGTCAGGCACATATTTAGATAGGGACGTAGCTGCAACTCGCCTTCTTGCAAAGGAGAGAAGGTTCACTGTGGAGAGTCTAGACAAGGGGAGCGTGGAAGGTAAAGCCTGATGCCTAGGGGGATGAGCCATGATCTTCACAATAGCGGCAAATTGACGAGACTTCGCCAAGAGAATGTTTGGTATGAGAGTGTGCCTGAAGCAAGATGAGCAAGGTATGCAGAAAACAAACGCAACTTTCTCGCCATGCTGATCCAGATGACGCGTTTTTTGGCGAGCATGGGTACAGGTCACAGTGAAGATAGGAGTGGCTTGTCACATTATCTAAAAAGGGAAGAGAGATAAGGCTCGATTTCCTAGTTTGTCAGCTTTTTGGCTTCTTTTCCTTCTTACGGTAGCGGGTTCTCTCCTTTGGCCGGCATTCCTAGTCTAATCTTCGAAAGTGGTTGTCATGATCCGAATCTTGAGACCTTTCCAGTCTTTGACGGCGCGATCTCAAATGGAAGCATGGGATGAAGAAAGCACCTCATCCGGGTCGCCCGATTGCTGGCTTTCGGGCCGAAGCAGTTGAATTTTCACAAGAAAAAGTGGAAAGGGGCCACTAAGCCCAGCAGTGGAACCGAAGATCATCGATAGGAAAGGCAACAGCTTTGAAGCCGATCAGACGGATGGCCAGGAGGCAGGGGCCCAGGACCCGAGAAAACCATAGGTGGAGGAAGTTCTGGGCAACATTCGCAATACAGCAGATTACAGAAAACAACCCCCCGAGTGATTCTCAACGTGCGCCGACGCATTCAATTTGGTTTGCCCAAGGAGCCGGGCCAAGAGAGGGATCGACGACGCATCATCGACGGGGAGACCCGCTGCCAAGCTCTGTGGTGGCTGTGGCCCTGTGGGAATGGAAGCCAATTAGCGAGTGAGACTTAAGGAAAGGGGGCAGGGAGTAGTGAAGCCATTACTTGAAGGGACTGGGTTTGTGCGTTGTATTTGCTTTTTCGAACTGCCCCTGAGGCCGGGATGTTATGAGTGAATGTATGGCATTTCCACGCCACGACCTGGTATCCGTATCCATTTCGTGACCATGAAGAGATCATGGGTCCAGAAGAATGTAATCATCCGTGGATCTAGTGGAATCAAGAGAGATGGATCCAGGGGAGAGGTCGATTGAGTCGATGGAGATGCTGGTGCGAGAGGAGAGTCGTTGCCATCGTCGCTGGGAAGCGCATGATGCGCATCAATGCTTCTCTTGGCATTGTGAGAATCGACATCAGAGAGGCAGCAACAACCATTTCTAAGAATAACGACCAGGACTCGAGTCTAGAAAGCTAGTTTTCTCTGTGAGGTAATCATGCATGCATGGTTCGTCAGTATTATTGTCCAGTCTTGCATGTTGCACACACAAAGCCAAGAATGGCTGTGATGGCAGATCTGAATCCAGTGCGACCTGATAGTTCAGTGGATCTCTGGTGGGTATGAATATCTGAATATCTCCCTGGGAGTTATACAATTCTAAAACACACTGTGCATGATCTACAGAGAATCACTTACCTTGACCCAGTGCTCTGATCTCTATTCGTGATACATGGCAACTGCTACGTACCACAGCCATTAGACAGATCAAAGGTCCACTGTCGCCGCTCCAACTCCCTCGATATCCAATTCATAGAACTCAAAATATCAACTATGCCTTGGCGGAATATCCACTAGACATATCAGTCTGAAATATGAAGCAAGGCCAAGAGACGGGAGGATGGTCCGTCTCCACACACCTTCCGAGTCTCAACGAAGCGAATCCACTTCGATGCCGACAAGGCAGATCGGTCATATTTATCTGTTTTATCTGTTATCTACGGAGTAATAGGCTTGACGTCTACGTACAGAAGGTGTGATTGATTTGCGATTGCAGCAGTGGATGGTTGGCATGATGCTCTAGCCATGCAGGCGCGGTGAATGTAGGACGTGGTTGTACAGTAGCCACGGGGGGGATTCCTTGGTACGTCCATATAGAATACCGCACTTGCTGCGCCTGCGCATTGAAAAACAGCAGTATACGGGGTAATGATGAGGTGAAGCAGGAATGGGCAGTTCATCATACTGATCACGATCCAGCAGAGGTCTTTAATCCAATTCCACAGTCATGGACAAGGTACACGAGGCGTTGACGAGCAACTGATAGAAAGCGAGGTTGCAGAACAGGATGCACCAAAAATGCTAGGGGAATGGTCATCATCATTTGTGTGGTCAATCTGGACGAAATGATGTTTCCATGTTGAAACCAGGACAAGACACAAAAAGGTATGCTCGGACAACAAAAGACTTATTCATTGCTCGTCGTTCCATACTCCCGTTCCATGCATAGATACGTACTTCAAACAAATACAAGTAGATATACCGACTTGAAGTAAAACGAAGGCCAAATTGAACAAGCCCCAACACGGGACACAAAGAAGACGCCTGATAGGATGGACAGAACACGCAATTCACATCATGCGGAAGACCAAGTCCGAGGCAAGTTCGGTTGTCGAATCTAAGAGCGCGCGGAAACCACGGCTGGAAGGTCGATCTGCCATTCGTGGCCGTTTGTCCACCGGGGAAGCCAACGGCGAGCTTACCATACTTTCTATTGGAGGACAGTATTCCGCAAGCTCTCTCACCTTGCACGCTGCATAATGTATAACGAGTTTCCGAAGCTCGTTGTCGCGGAGCTGAGTGGCCGAGGTTGGTGAAATCGGCTCCAGACGTGTGGTCTTGGCGTACGTGTAGTGGAGGAGGTCAAGGACCATTCTGGCCTTGGTTGCAGTCAAGGCAGCTCGCTCTTCATTCCGTTCGCCGTCTTTCGGACCAGGAAACGCTAGACGCAGCAGATCCGCGTGAAGCTTTCGGAGACACAATTGCGCCAGAGCGGGAATCAAGTATCGTACGGCGAAAACGTACAGCTTGGCGTGGAAGACAAGGTACGGGAGATCCGACTTGCTTGCATCCAAGTGTGTCGCAGTTGGGGTGAGAGGCCTTGTCCCGTAGGTCGAAGGATGATCAAAATAGTCCAAGCTCACAAACTCATCCCAGAGACCAACTCCAGTTGGGCGGCGCGAAAGATATAGCTGCTTGGCGAAAGAGGTGTCAATGAACGCTTCCATCGGGCTTCGGGGAGACACAACCTCTTCCTTGACTTTGACCTGCTTTTGACTGTCGTGATCAAGTTCCACCTTCTCATCGAGGGTGCCCTCGACCTTGGGAGGCACAGGGGTTGCTCGATCCCAACTCTCAGTATCCAAGGACAGTGCAGCAGCATCAGGGGACTCGTCCGCTCCAGTGGGCTCAGGAACTTCTACAACCTCCGCTACCTCATCTACTGTAGTAGGTTCGGTCACTGGGATCGGATCATCCAGCATTGTAGTAGTCTCGACTGTGAGGTGGTTATCAATCTGGCCGTTAAGATTCCCAGGAGGAGGGGTTGTTGGAGGAGTCAGGTTAGACACTGGTTCCTCGGCAGTCGCACCACCTTGCTGTTTCTTCTTGTCCTTCCTGGACTTCTTCGCTTTCTTGCCTTTCGAGGGCGCGGCGTCCCCGCCAAGCCCCCAGGGAAACCCCTCTTCGGCAGCAGGAGTGGCCAGAGGCTGCTCACTTGGCTCGTCACAGGTTGATGCCAAATCCTGTGGCGGGTCATCGGGTGCCGTAACATCCTCTCCCACGTCGTTGCTGCCATCCTTCACGCTCTCGCCCTCCTTCTGCTGCGCCGACTCGTTTGCGGCGGCAGTCTTCGAGGCCTCGCGATCTGGGACGTCCTGGTCCTTGTTCGAAAGCTTGACAGACGGGGGAGGAGATGGTGCTGGGGGAGGAACGGCCGAGGCGAAGGGATTGGGATTCGAGAACAGCCCATTGATCGCTGTGTCATTGATGGCGTCGTCTTTCTCGCTTTCGCGAGATCCCGGCGTGGGTACACTGTAATCGCCCGTGTAGGCATACTCGCAAAAGGCCACAAAGGTCTCGACATCCTCGTCCTCCAGAACGGCAATATGATGCTTGGACTCCCTGGTGAGGCCACTGTTCATGAGATGATCGAGCGGTTTCGAGACATGGCGGGCAAGCCCAGATTGAATTGTCAATTTGGTATGACTAGGCCCAACAAGGAACGTGAATGGTGGTGAATGGACGATGCTGTATCCAGGAGAGTGATTCGAAGAGTCAGTGGCAACGCTGTCATGGTTGGCAGGATGACTTGAGTGCTCGTAGCTTTTTTGATCATCTTGGATGTTTGGGATGGAATCAAAGTAAAGGCGTAGCGCAAGCAGGATGCCGAAAACAGAGATATCCCCTCCAGGCTGATCGACGAAGATGCTCCACTCACCTGCTCCAGTCTGGAGACGACTCCATTGACGATACTGTCCCGGATACTTCCTCCGCTTTTTCTTCCAACAAATGGACAATGCGATCTCACCAAGACAAAAGTGTGAGTAAGAACAGAGCAAACGCAATTGTCCCCAATTCCCCTCGCTCTGAATGCACTGCAATAAATACTAACAGCCCGAACTAGTCATCGTTGTCTCTTCAAATTCGAAGCCGAGTCCACGCGAACTGAAGTTTCTGACCCTGCGCCCTCCTATCCTTGCCCTCTGCAGCCTCATTTTCCTCTATCCAAACTAAAAAGAGAGGCTACAAGCGCGGAAATCGACCCAGATGGGTCAAGTTAGTCTGCTACGTGTGCATTCACGACGGGATTTAGGGCGGTTTGACCGCCAACTTCTATTCTCCAACGGTGCCAACAGCAACAACCCCCCCATAAACCATTCCTCCTTATCATGGCAGCTCGCAGATGGGCCATTGGCATACACCGTAAACCACACTGCCTTGGAGCCGTAGAGCCATACCTTGCCATTGATAACATTGACATGGCGAAATTCGCGGGATAGCTCAACATCCGCGACCCGTTTGAGACCCTGTGCAGCTAGGCTAGCTGTTCGTCTCACCCATTCTCGAGAACGACTGTTAGTGCTACTGGACAACGCAGCAGTACCATGGCAAACTGCTGATGGAGACTGTAACACGCGCAAGTCACGCGGGTAATAGATAGTTGCAGGCTTGCAGCGCTTTTCTCCCTTTTGATCCTAGAGGGGGGTGAAAGTAACCAAGCAAGATCGTTTGAGAGTGCTTTGAGTAGCATTAGTCTGCTCCGTTAGCGTTGACTCCTGCGTCGGGGACGCCAATGCCGGCTTCCTCGAATGGCTTAGATTGTTGCCCGATGAGTGCTGTAATTGCTGTTCGTCCCAGCCTCTTGATGACCCAACTGCGGGTCGTTTCGTGGACGCAGTTAGTTTGATACCCCAAAGATGCATGGAGCCATGGACTAGAGAAGGATAGTATTGACTGTTATGGTAATATATGCTAGCAGTCCTGGGAGTTCCCAAACTGGCTGGGTGCGTTTTCATCATCTGGCGGTGAGATTGGTGGGCTTCGATTACCGCTTCAGATCGTCAGGATATGGCTGGGTTTGCTGGGGCGGGTTTGCTACGAGCCTCGGTCTGATCAGTCTCGAGCCCTGGGCTGGAATATTTGAGCAACTAAATAGTGCAGCTCGTCGAAAGATATCACAGTCGGACTTATACTCAGGTGAACATGGGAATACAAGGTGCTATTACTACTGGCAGTGTACGTCTTGCAATGAGCGGCATGTCGCAGTCAAGCTACATATCCAATTAATATAGTTTTGCTCCATACATAGTCTTAAGCTATGAGTCTAAGATCAAGAGACACAGATCGACAAAGCGCATAGTGCACTTCCAGAATCCGTAATCAATGAATCAGGCGAATCTCTGTCCTGCCTGGTTCCCACTCCCGTAAGCCTTCACCGACACTATACCAGAACCTCAACCGCACACACTCCTGACGCGCAGCCTCGATATCCCCCCGTTCAAAGGCTTGTGCCAAGCTCTTCACACAATCCGCCACCCGCGCGTCATTCTCCTTCTTCAGCGCAGCAATGGCTTCTTCAGCCCCCGGGCCTGCACCGACATCCTCAATCGTCTCCTGAACCTCCATGACCTCCATCAGTGTCTCCGGGTCGAGCGCATGTTGGGTCGCTCCGTCTTCCGCGGTCACATCGATACCATGAATCTCGCGCAGAAGATACTGCGCCCGCTGTAGAGGGTCCGCTAGAGTCCGATACGCTTCGTTGATCCGGGCGGACAGCGCCTCCGCCCGCTGCTTCGCTGGTCCTGGCGGAAACTTGTCCGGATGTATCACATTCTGCAGGCGGAGGAACTCGCGTCTCAAATCGCTCAGAGGGATATCAAATGATGAAGCGGGAGGTGGTCCTGCCGGCAGAGTCTCGCGAAAAATGGTATAGTGGTTTGTAAGGTCTGGAAGGTTGCTATCCTGATTGCTCGTCTCGGTTGCTGTTGTAGATGAGGAGGTCGAGGCAAGTCGACGGGTTTGCAACGTCAGTCCAGGTCCTCGCGCAGGTTGAGCAGCCAAGATCCTCGGTCTCAGTTGGCAGAAAATGCACGCGCCTGTTGAGAATAGCGAGTGTCTCGCCTTCGTCCGTGACGGGGGAACTGCGGAGAGCAGCGATCGCTGTGCCAGCCGCTGCATGCGAAATGATGCGGCCATCTTTGCTTTTGGATGTATGTCTGTTCTCTGATGGCTGCAAGGATTCGTTTCTTTAGCGCAGTCTAGCGATTAGATCAGGAATGGTCGAAACACCTCTTGCGTCTGGGAATTACTCCGATGACTTTTCTTCCCGGTCAATAAATAATGAGATAAAGTAACCACGTGCCGCTTAGTCAACAATCGGCGATTGATCGCCGTTACGTCATTTATCCCGAAAACGCATTGTAAGGCTTCATAATCGATGCACATTCTCTACGAAGTAGTATCCGACCGATCTATGCTTCCGAGGAGGTATGTACAAGGGAAGCTAGAGTCCCTTAATGCCTAAGCTGGAACAATTAGAGATCCAAGTCTGTGGAAACTGGTAATACTCTATCCTTCGAGTGACCGGAATCTCGACATGGAGCATTGACTTCTTATTAAGCCGGGTCCGAAACAGACCCTACGCTAGGGAGCGTAAGGATTTATTGTAGGTATATGAGCCTGCAAGCGTAAATGTGGCCACATTGTCGATTGTGCTTATTTAGTCTTCATAAGTGCTATAGATTCACTCTATGCCCCAGAGCTTCACAGTCCGATCGTGCCCGCAACTGGCAATCCACTGGGCATCGTCACTGATGTCTGTGCTAAGGACATTGCCTGCGTGGCCACTCAAGGACTTGACCAAAGACCAATCATCCGCGCTGAAGATATTGACGTTCTTGTCGAACCCACTGCTGACGAAGAATGTGCCTGACTTCTTTGGTTGAACGGGGGTTGCTGGCGGTGACTGTTCGCTCGTCGTGAGCGTCGGGTTGCTGTCAACGTCCATTCGCCCGTTGCTTTCAGTGGATGGCAGATAAGATGCAGCCGACTCAGTGCCCTTGTACCACCGTACATCCGACACGACGCTTTTATGTGCGCCGATCCCACCAATATTGCGTACTTGTCGGAGGTCCCAACACTTGATCCAGCCATCACCCGAACCTGACAAGACACGGTATCCGTCTACACCCCAGTCGAGACCGTAAATTTCTCGGACATGGCCCTCAAGGATCATCACCGTGCGGCCCGTCCGCAGATCCCAGATTCGACCAATGCTGTCCAGACCGCCGCTAGCCAGCAGAGAACCGTCATTATTAAATGCCACGGTATAAACCTCTCGTGAATGGCCCTCCTGAAGAAGAAGCTCGACAGTTGTCTCAACGTCCCACAAGCGCCATGTCGTGTCGAATGAAGCAGAGGCGACGTACCGCCCCGAAGGATGAAATTCTGTCCGGCATACACGGCCGCTGTGGCCTGACAGTGTAGCTAGTGGTGTATCTTTATCCAATGACCACAGCGCCACGTCGCCCTCGCCGCCTCCGGAGACAAGGTTGACACTCGACTCGGACACATTCGACGTGGGAAGCGTTGCACCGGGGAACCATGCCAATCCACCGACACGATCCGTATGTCCCTTGAGGTTTGACTTCTCCTCCAGATTTGGTACGGTGAGCAAGCGGATACCGCCACCCCAATTGCCCGCAGCGATCGTCTTTCCGTCTGGCGCAAAGCGACAAATGCTCACAGGGCGATCGCCCGCAATCTGCGACCCGTAAAGGTCGAACCCTTGCAACTTCTCCTTGATCGCTTTGCGATGCTTGATATGTGTTCTCAATGGGATTGTAGATTCCTCTCGTAAGCGCTCTACTCGTGCTTTCGCCCGGGGTAAGGAATAGCGGGCGATGGCTTTTCGGGCGTTGAGTAGCTCCTTGGAGCCTTCTGTGTAGAATTCTTCCTGTTGTTCTGCTTCCTCTTCCGCCTCTTCAGCTTCCTCTGTTGTACCTCGCATAGATATATCACCTTCCGCGGTCGCCGCTTCCTGCCTCTCGGCCAGATCGGTCAGAAGCTCACGCAGTCGGTCTCTCCGGTCCACGGGGCCTTCTCCAAAAAGAGTGATCGGTTCCCCGAGCTCTCGCAATCGTGCGCGCACACGGCTATCATCCGTCGGGACCGCCATGGCGGCTGCTCGTCGCTTGCGCTCGAATTGGGATAGAATGGCAGATGCTCGTTCAGCGGGTATGCCCGCTGCAGCAGAGGGAATATCATAGTCGCGGTCGACGGCTACGATGGACACGAAGAGTCAGCCAAAGGACTGAATACTCGGGTCGCAACCCAAAGTCAGATCGAGGGAAGTTATTACTTACGAATATTTGCCAGGTCAATGCCCATTTCCGTATCCTAGCCAACCCAAAAATCATTGGACGTCAGTGGAAGGATTCCTGAAGAGAGCCTTTGACTTCATAATGTGAACATAGGTAGATCAATCTAGGATCTATATGGATCGAGAAGCAGAGGGCCAGAGAAAGAGAGAAATCCTCATACCTCAGACTCCTCCACGTACGCCTGTCTTGAAGGGTGCATCATCTTGGGCAGTGAGAGCGCAGATGCTGGCGGGGAGCTTGAGACAAAACTTGAATCAGAAGGATGACTTGGTTATTAGGTCGTCTTTTCGCCTGAGATATAATCGCAGAGAGTAGCAAAAGATTTTCCGATGGATACTTCTCAGTCTGAAGAGCCACCGGTTGCTCTTCTGGTGACACCGCAGTACTAGTGGAGGCCAGGAAAGAAAACGCGGAGACGACGTTATCCATGATATTTTCAACAGTCCGTCAAGGGCGGATTGTCCGTTTTGTCACCACCACAGGTCGTTCCTCTTGGAAAATATTCTCTACATGACCAGCTTCCCTTGTGCAGTCTATCCTTGCAAGAAGCTCGATTGTCATTATTATTCTTTTGCAAAGATCGGCACATACGCTGAACCAATTCATCGAGAATGAACCACATCCAGGCTGCTACGGGTATGTCAAACCTCCCCTGCATCAACTATCTAACTCCCTTCTTCTTTTGCAAACTCCAGAACGCGAGATTATCCATTAATGAGTCTTTGTAAAACTAACAGTTACGTCTGGAAGTGTCCGTACCGAAATCATCTCATCCAATCTCGGTGTCAAACTCCCTTATCTTTTTCCCTTGAGGCGGTTGATGACGCCAGGCGGTCGGCGATCCCGTCTTATTCTGTTTCCATCAGTCATGGAAGGGAAAATTCAGCAAGAATGACTATCCATGATCTTCTCAGAACCTCTGGCTGATCCAGTGATCGGCCCAGTGGCTTTTCTATCCAGCGAGAAAGTCCCCAATTGCCTGGAAAAAGCGTAGAGGACTTCATTATCGCTCCCTTTGTTATCTCCCGACCATTCACTACCTGTCAGTCCGGATCAAAGCGGTTGATCCGTGACGGTCGGCTGCTTGTTCGGTATCATCGCCAAGCATTTCTCACCATCCTTCAAATGGTCCAGCAGAGAATATCGTTGTACAGAATTATTCTGCTGGAGGGTCTTGGTATTGTGAGGAACAGGGCCCTCCGGTGACGATCCTGCTCTTTGCCGATGACCCCGTTGGCCTCCTCCGGTAGAGCCTGCAGTTCAGCCTGCAGTAGCCTACAAACCGTCGCAAGAGACAGATTAGTCTCTTTTGCGACATCTAGCACAATATGGTCTCGACACTTACCGGACTACCTCTCCTCCCTTAGAAGCCAGCGACTATCTGCATCATACCTCCCACGATCTTCGTGCAGGACTTTTCATGCAACGTCATCGTTCAGTCTCGATGCTCCGCGCATCTCCTACTGTGTGGCCGCCTCGTCCTCTCCAAAGACCCGCCGTTTCCACCCTCCCACCAATTTCCACAATTTTAGACCCGAGCTTCACGATGCCATCGGCGTGGTCCCAGAAGAAATCGATCCGGCCACCAGACGCAAGAGGAGACCAGACAGTGGGGAAGATGCTTTCTTTGTGAGCAGAGTTGGAAGTCGAGACTCCGGCGCCATCGCGTTCGCGGTCGCGGACGGAGTTGGAGGCTGGGTGGAGTCCAAAGTCGACCCAGCGAACTTCTCCCACGCTCTGTGCCGCTATATGGCGCTAGAGGCTCTATCTTGGGACTCGTCGACCGACAAATTGCGGGCCAAGAACCTGCTTCAGTCAGGATACGACCAGCTGGTGGCGGACAAGTCGATTCGGGCTGGTGGGAGTACTGCGTCGGTCGGGGTGGGCTTGGAAGATGGTCAGGTCGAGTTGGCCAACCTAGGTGACTCGGGCTCGATGCTGCTCCGTCTTGCTGCTGTGCATCATTATTCGGTCCCACAGACTCATGGCTTCAACACACCATATCAACTGAGCATCATCCCCCCGAGAATGCGTGCTCAGGCCTCCATATTCGGCGGCTCTTTCTTGGAGGACTCGCCGCGCGACGCGGCTGTCACAAACCTCCACATGCAGCACGGCGATGTGCTCATGCTAGCGACCGATGGGGTCTACGACAACTTGAACAATCAAGACGTCTTGAAGCTCGTCACAAGCCGGATGATTCTAACCGGGGCATGGACCGCCACGCCCGAATTGGGAATCAAGGTATCGGATGATCTCGGAGCGCTGACCGGCCCTGACGGCCTCGCTTCTCTACTTCCCTGGCCATCCTCGTCTTCCAAAACGTCGGCGGCCGACACTTCCACGTCAGGCAATGTCGCGCCATCCAGCCAAAATCTTCAGCACCATACGCTCCAGTCTCTACTCGCTTCCACAATCGCTGGCGAAGCCAAACGGGCCAGCATGGATTCCCGACGGGACGGCCCATTTGCCAAAGTAGCCCAGCGCTATTATCCCGGCGACTGGTACCGAGGCGGAAAGGTGGACGACATCTGCGTTTTGATCATTGTGGCTGTTGAAGAGGGTCGAGGTCATGAATCTCGCTAGACTTCTGAGTTTGTTTAGTATTAACTCACAATCTGCGTTTTGGCGCTGTAGTTATGTATAGAGCCTGCCGGGTCCACCAGAGCTGGAAATGGGTGTCGCGCTGTATCATATGAAGTTATCTGCCCAAATAGCATCAAGCATAATAGAATAGGATACCATATATTATCACGTTATCAATGATGTCTCTGGACAACATGCTCGATGGAATTTCATATGAATAACTTTGTA